TAAGTAGACAAGCAAAGTATCATGGATACCAGCATTATCATACATAAGAAATTGGTTTAAATCTTGAGTAAATGAGGAGATTAAAAATGAACTGATTCTAAAAAATCTCTGGTTTGCCACTATGGCTTAATATAAAGGAAAAACTAGAGAGGTGACAGAATTACCTACGATGTCGGAATATACCGCATTTACCCTATGATCAAATATCAATCACCATCTGGAGAAGGAGATGGACATGCCAAATCCCAAAAAGACAGAAACTTTGTAGTTTGTGCACTAGGTATCCTAGAACTCAACACTAGCTATTCACAAAAATCTTTTTAAAAAAGTCAGCCTAATGTTCTCTACTAATCTTCATTCAGACAAGAATTCAAGATGGGACTCAAGAGCTGAGTCAAGACTGTTGTATTATGAACAAAGAATTAGGTATCAATATAATAAAGCCTAAATAATTTCACTCTTGATAACTCATGCGGAAAACTTAATCCGATGTTCAAAGATATGCAATCGTCACAGAGGTCACTCGTCCCGTGTTTCAGCGCCGAAAACTAAGCTACCTAGGCTAGTTATTTTCAAGACCGATTCACGACCCGAACTGACAGTCTGTCTCACACCAACGCCAATCAACGCTATACAAAAAAAATATTGAAGCACTCTTTGTTCGTTTTCTCTTCTAAACAATTCAATGATAGAATTTCCTTGTGCAGAATTTAGTAACCTAATATCAGTTGATTAAAAATCAAATAAAGGCATGGCCTCTTCCTGCGAGAAAACGCAAACATTCTAGTGATAGATGTGTTACCGTTTTGTTCTTCAGCTGCAAATGATAGCAAGTTGGCAATTTGTTAAAAATACAGGAATTTTACATAACATAGGCGTGAATGAATCGCTTTCTAAAATGTCCATGATTGCGAGAAAATAACAGGATTACCATTAACTAAGTTGTCTTTACAATACTGTATTCTGTATATCCTATGCAAAAGAAATCAAGATAAAATCGTACCAATTGGATACTTTTCCGGTCCTCTCGGATGCTCTACCGACCGGTCTTCAAGCAGCTTGTTAAAACTTCGCACATGCTTTCATTGGCACCCATGATGATTGTTAGGTTGTACTTAATTTTTTAGATATAATTTCCGTTTGCCCATATGGCCATTAGCCACCTTAGTTGGGTCGTACGATACAAAATCCGAAATTCGCGACAAACGTAAAATATTTTCCAACTTATAGATCGCATTTGACCGAAACTTTGAAGATTGTTCGTTATCACAAAACAATGATGCTTAGCTGGTGCAAAAATTTCCAATTAAGGCTTTATTTGCGAGTTATTCGGCTATACGGAGAAGCGACCTGTATTATTAGAATTGAAGTGTCGGCATTGAAGAAATAGGCACATGGCCTGTTGCCGATTCTTGAATTTTCGTGACTTGATTCACCAATCACAAGGGATCCGGCCTTTAGAACCCGATCTTTCCAGAACTAACGATTGATTGAGATAGCTGCGGCCAATTGTTAAATTTGTATTGAACAAGAAAAAACTATCCCTAATTTATTAATGCAGCTCGATAAAATTTGACACATGCGGTCATTAGAGCCTAAAGGTGCTTGTACATGGGGATAGTACTAGCAGCTAGTAGATCTCAAAAATGTCAAACGTCTGCCTCTTGCTCTTGGCGTCTATCCCGCATGTAAGCTGAAACTTGTCTCGTGTCTAAGCTTCCTTGTGGGATAGACACCAGCGGCAGACATTTGGCAATTTTATGATCTACTAGCCGCTAGTACTATTCCCGTGTACAAGCACATTAACTGTGATGTTTAGGATGTTATATTTTTTCGATATAGTACTAGTTTGCGATCTTGCACGCCATACGCGAAATCCAAAACATCGATGTAACTTGTATAAGCATTATCACTTTATTAGTTTACTTACGACGTGAACGAAGACAAAAATGAAAAAAAGATCACTTTCAAGTTCACTTGATCTTGAGACGGGCCGGAAAAGTGCTTGCGAGTTATCAAGCAGTTTGTTGAAAACGCGAGACCCGAAAGTACATGTTATAGAACCCAGAGCACGATGAAGTTCTGTGTAGCAGGTTTACTCGAGCTCAATTACGCTGAACATCGTCAGAACTTTAAGAACGTTGGAGTTCAAAGTGACTCCGCCAGGCAACATTGCATTCAGAGTGAACGAATTAGTAATTTTTGAAACTATTTACTAATATCTTGGTTTTAATTAAATCAGCATCAAGTTGTAAACAATTCTTCAGTGACATAACCCGAGGAGCGAGTCAATTGTCAATTGCTTTTGAGCAGACGTCGAATTTCTAGTTGTAATCTATAAGGTTCAAGTTTCTTTAAAGGGGTTTTCAGGAGCCAAATGAGAACACAAATCTTAACAACGTTATATATTAGGTCACCCCGGAATCGATATCCGAAACGAGCAACTATAAATACTGTAGAATAAATACAACATATTCAATGAATTCACTTTTAGCGACCTTAGAAAAAAATTCGTTTGGAGAATAGGCGAATATATGACACTGTAACCAAAGTTCCCAAAATATTTTATTTAACAAATACAGACTAGTTGCTAGGATTGCACGCGACTTGAGCCACAACAGGGCAGCAGGAATAAAAGCAAGCTGATGGGGCGCCGAGAATTGTATTGTGCGGAGAGGAAGTTGGGCCAGCAGAGTTGATTAGCGCAGGAGAGCCGTGCTGCTGCTCGAGTGTCGTGGTGATGAACGTGGTGGTAGGGGGCGAAATGGTGAGGAGTTTCCTGGCGGCTGGCGGAGACACGATGTTAGCAGAGGGGAGAGAAGTCCGAGAGTTCAGTGCAGCCGAGGAGACATAGTTGGCTGGAATGGAGCTTAAACTAAAGTAACAAGGCTGGCCATTGCCAGATATCGCTAGCGACACGCCAGGGTGCAAGGTGGAGTTTAAGCTCGGCATTGTCGAGCCATTAGGTGCGGAGATCACCTGTAAGTTTAAAGGTTGTTGCTGATAATTCGAGTTCTGGTGACTTGTTAGAGCATTATCTGCTGGTATAATAGTTCTACTAACATCACATTCGTTATAGGTCCCACATGAGATCTCAGTGAGTGGACGCCCGACAGTGGGCACGTTGATAATTGGAGCAACAGGCATGGCCGTAGTATCGCACACGCCGTAACGATCTTGACAGGATGGAACAGAGACGAGACTTGGGCCAGCCAAGGAGCGTCTCACGTCACTGAGGCGACGCTTGACGCTCTGCAGATCAAGAGACTTGAACTCCTCATGAAACACTTTGAAGTACACCCACGGTTTCACTTTAGCGTCGTAATCCTTATCTAGTTTATCTGGAAAGAAGAAATATTTTTTAGCCTTCAAAACAGCTAGGAGAACGTGGCAGCCGAATGCTCATCTGTGATCGGTAGGTTTAGTTTGTAAAGTCGTCAGTGATTTGTGACTTAATAACAAACGTTTAACTATTTTTGATGGTAGGGCTTCTGATCATGTATTTGATCACAGCGATTCGAAATATGATTTTTTAGGAGAGAATAATGAGCAATTAATTCATATTACTACATTGATTTTCCAAATGAAGCATGGAATTTGAAGTATATAAATCATCACATTTACTAGCAGAAATGTCAGTTTTTCTTACCAGAATCAGGAAGCGGAGCCTGAGGTTCGTGCTGAGAAAGAAAATGGCGGTGGAGTTTCGTGACGTTGATATCAGGCGCCTGGTGCTTGTCAGACTTGATGAAGTCAGCGGCCATTGAACCAGAGAGACACTGCACAATGTGCTGCTTAACCTTGCGTACCACGTCACCCGTCACCTTAAAGAAAATAGGAAGAGGTGAACCTCAGGCAGGCAACTCTTGTCAATCATGTGAGAAGCAACATAGACATATGCATTACAAGCTGAATTTTTGACATGTATTAGAAACAAGGCTATTAATGTAGGCCGGCCATTTAAATGTTTAAGCTTAAGCTTAACTATGAGATGCTAACTTTCTTCGGCCTGTTGCAGTGCTTGCCGCGGTTGTCGCGGGGAAACATGACGTTCTGCTCGTGCTTCAGGCACAGGGTCCGGATTTTTTTGTCAGAGATGCCGTGTATGCTGGCAAAGGCTCTTTTGCACACCTATTAATACATCAATAGCATTGTTATTATTATTTACTCCATTATATAATGGTATTACCGGCTGTACAGGAGCTTATTTTATAATTTCCAGCAAAACTTATTTTGGAATTTTGATAAATGAGATAATATTCAAGTTCATGCAACAATTAATGGTGCCAAATAGCATTAAATAAGATATTCATGGTTATCAAGTTATACTACAGACAATTACCCAGAACTCCTAAGAAACAATCAGCATAAAAACAAACAAACCTGCACTTCCCGACCTCTGATCCTAACATAATACTTGTAAGAACAGGTTCTCTTCATGGAATCAGGATGGCGTTTCCTCAAGATGTTATGTCGTCGTATCAAGCCGTAAAGGTAAGAGTTCTGTTCATCATAGCTGCACAAATGCCACAAAATATTCATTAGTACACCAAAAGCCGACATTGGTACATTCTGGGAGTCCACTGACTCCTGGATGAGTCCATTGGTTCAATGAATGCTAGAACAGTAGGATCAATATTAAATTTTTGCCAGCTACCCAAGGAAAAGCAAAGACGTCACTCATCCGCTTGTAGCTGGCAGAACAAATTTGGATGCTCCAACAGTCAATACTACTCAAAAAAAATGGACAAGCATCAACTTCTGGAGTGACACTGAGGCAGGATAATTGATTTACATGTAAATAGCTTAATTATTCTTTCAAATTGCTAACTGAAGATCTGCGAAAATAAAGTGAATAAAAATGTGAATAAACTGTCAAGATGTTATTCGCAAAGTGCAGACCAATTTTTTCATCTATCATGCACAGGGTTTGGACAAAATAAGGGAAACACCTGTCATTTCATTTATCATGTACAAAGGCTGGACAAAATATGGCAAAACACATGTAATTTTTATACTAATGTAATTTTTGAACATGTCATAAACAATGAAAATGTGACATATTTTTCTGTTTCATTCTTTATTGTTGCTGCTAATTGATATTTTATATTTGCACTGATATTTTTAGTGAATTTTTTTGTCTATAACCTAACATACAAATTGTTGGTGCCCAAATGGCGGGTGCTAGTGAGACAGAAACTTGCCGAATGCTCCACGTTTTTAGAGGTATGTACCTGCTCGAAGTTTCTAGAGGTATATACTGTCTCAAAAGTAATGACAGCTTGAAAATGAAGAACGTCTTCAGCAAAGCACAGGTCTGGCCGAAAGTCAAAGTTGTGCATTTTCAGTTGTTGGTACCTAAATTGGATTGTGAGGGACAATAAAAAGACCACAGCTGTCAAAATTACTGCAGGCCTCAATGGACCCCTACAGAACAGAACCCAGTTTACATAAGGACTGTCAGCCAAGGGCAGAACTGATCATCTATATTCCATGGAAGAGCTTAAATTAGAAAACCTCTGGTTACAAATACAAATGCTTCAAAGTATTGAGAGTGGTGTAAAAACCTCCAGAATTGGTCCCTCAAGCAGTGGAAAAATGAGGTTTTCTCTGATAAATCATTGCTTACCTTATCTCTAACCTCTGGCCAAGTTTATGTTTGGAGACAGCCGAAGGTCATTTAATCCCAGTCAACCTCCAAACCATAAAACATGGTAGGGGATCTGTGATGATCAGAGGTGCTATTTCTTGGAAATCCGGCCAACCAATGATTTCTCTTCATGGAATAATCAACAGCCGTGACTGACTATTTAAGATTGTTTGAGGACCAAGTTCATCCAATGGTTCAAGCAATGTTTATGGAGCGATATGCCATCTTTCAAGATGATAATGCCCCAATCCATACAGCTGGAATTGTTAAAAAATGGCAGGAAGAGCATTCTAATGAAGTTGAGCTTCTCATTTGGCCACAACAACCACCAGACCTGAATAATATTGAGCATCAATGGTAAATTTTACAGATGCAAGTCAAAAGTTGATTCCTGCAGCCATCATCATTAAAAAAGCTGAAGGAATTTTTAACTGAAGAATGGGTTTAAATTCCTCTGGAAACAATTCACAATTTGTATGGATCAATACCTCAGAAAATTGAGGCTGTAATTGCTGCAAAAGATGGATGTACACCATACTTGAATATATTTTGTGGCTTTCTCAGGCGTTTCCCTAATTTTGTCTAACTCCTGTAGAATATTACAGTACCGTCAACTGGGGTGACTTCAGCCACCAGAGGTGACTTCGGACACACTTACAACAGAAACAAATGGCTGTGAAACAAAATAATAAACATTGGCCAAAGTCACCACAGTCACATTGGCCAATGTTTATTATTTTGTTTTGCTGCCATTTGTTTCTGTTGTAGGTGTGGCCAAAGTCACCCCCAGTGGCCAAAGTCACCCCAGTTGACAGCAACACAAGTAAGTAAACATTTTGTATTCAATCAAAATAGCTATCTTCATAATCTGATTAAATCATTGTAAATGAAAAACCTATGTACCTTTTTAAATTATAGTATCCAGTGAAGATAGTTTCTCTGGACTCCTGATCAACTTGTTGGAAGCACTTGTTCCTGCAGTTGCAGTCAGGACCAATTTTCTTGGACAAGACCATCTCACCTCTGGTGTTGACGTAGGACTTGCCTGAGAGAATTGCCTTCTTTCTCTTGCTCTTAAGCCACATTTCTGGGTTTCTTGATCTTTTTCTGCTATTAAAGTTCTTTATTTGACCTTCATTTAATAAATTCATGCTTCCAGATTTAACTATTAAATTTCTCTTATCTTCAGTTGACATATTAATTGATTTTTAAATTAAACATATAAGATGATTCTACTTCTTTTTTTCAATACAAATTGTTCTGCAAGAAAGAAAGAACATGAATCAGTGCATGGCATTCAACAATATTAAGAAATATTCATTTTTATACTCATCCCATAATGGGGTAATTAATGTAATTATATACCTACCCATAAATAATTACCTACCTATATACTTCATATACTTATATACTTCAAAGTAGGTCAGGTCAGTATCAAGAGGAGCCAAGTACCTGCAAATGATTGTGCTAAGAACATAGGCAGAGTGTGGCAGTTGGGAGGGAGTGAGATTGTGAGGACAAAAAAGTATAGAGGCTGATTGGGTGTATGTGGATCAGGTGAGTTGTGAGTGAACAAAGGCTGTAAATTTAGGTAAGGTAAATCAGTGACTGGCTATAGTAGGAATTGAGTACGACAGAATTGAGAGCAAGTAAGAATGAAGTATTAAAGGAATTGGAAGAGTGCAGAATTTCCTAATATTATGTATGGATTGGAACATCAGCAAACAGTGATGATGAGTTAGACAGCATGGAGGTGATACAGAATAGTTACATGAATGAGCTGGTGGTCATCAAGTGGAGTTCAGTGGTGGCATTGAGAGGACCCATGAGATCAAGTACTTCAAAGACAAGAATAATGAGGGGAGCTTTAAGTGAAGGTGAAAATGCAATAAATGTATTGTGAATTTGGACACAAAATATATGCAAGTGGAACATAAAAGTGAGTAAATGGCGATATAAATGTGACCCAAGGAATGAATGGGTAGAGACAATAGGGGGTGAAGTTAAGAGAAGTTAATAAAGAGTGAAAGAATATGGATATGGAAGTGCTGAAGCTTCGTATCAGAAGAATAGATTCTCTCAAGCCATACCAAAAGGAGGCAAGGCCTAAGAATTAATTTATGACAGTAGTAGAGATTGAGATTTACTATTTTCAGTGCAAGCTGGTGCAATGGGTGTAAGTAAATGTACAAACAGGTGCAATGTAAGGAGGGAGGATGGGCTCTTATTCTTAACGAGTGATTGCAGTGTGAAGTAAACAGAGGAGGAATTGATTGTAGAATGAAAGGCAGATGAGAGAGAACTAACTGCTTTGATGGAGGTGATTCTGAATAATGCTTGTTGCTGCAAAGCATGCTATGCATTACAGCCTCATTCATCATCTTGCTGCACAGTATGCCATGCATTACAGCCTCATTCATCATCTTGCTGCACAGTATAATGCCTTCAGTCCACAGTCAATTTACATGATGCATTCTCATCATCTTCTCTTTACATTGCAGATCTGTATATACATAGTTTTCATTTTCAAGTTCAACTAAGTTGGCATGGGAATGATTGTTTATTCTACATAATAATTAAACAAATCAAATAGGTATTTGCTTTTCCCTGTTTTCATGTTTGCAAGTTTCATTATGAAAGTAAGTCTCTGTCTGTTTATCAGCCAAATTTATCTGCTCCTAGCAGTGAAGGTAATATCAAGGTTGGAATGTATGTATTGCAGTACAGCCAGGGACCAACTGAGCTGGGGGCTCTAAGTGCAGCGTTGATGATGTGAAAACTGAAGATAGAAGGAGAGGACACCAGATGGAAGGAGGATGGATGGGAGGCAGGCAGGATGAGAGGGAGGCAGGATGGGAGGGAGGCAGGATGGGAGGGAGGCAGGATGAGAGGGAGGCAGGATGGGAGGGAGGCAGTATAGGAGGGAGGCAGGATGGGAGGGGGGTAGATATTTTGCACACTAGTTAGATTTATTTTAGATAGATATTTTGCACTGTTATGCATACCACTATCAAGTTTAATGTACATAAAATACCAACAAAATCTAGAAGTAGATCAGGAAAGTAGAAATTAAGTTTATCAACTAGTTCTTAAAAATATCTCTTTTGCTAATATTGTCTTCAAAGTTCAAGTTGTCAAAAGGGTGATATAATTTTCTAGCAATATTGAAGCAGTTCGGTACATAGTAATTGAAAACTTAACGAGTTAATTGAACCCAAAAATTGTGGTTCTGTCAACTTTTACAAGCTTTTCAAGTTTTCATTGATGACCAACAAATTAACCAGGGTGCAGAGGGTGCAAGCACAAGCAGCATTGCCAAGATATGGATTTTTAGCCCCAAAGCATTGCCAGCCATTTTCAAGATTAGTTCCCAGGTAACTTTTAATAGGAAGCTGCTGCAAGCAACCCACTGTGCAGAGAGTGAAGGAAGATTTAAAGACCTACGGCGATGCATTATCGGCAAAATTTTCGCCTTCAGAAGATCTTGCCAACACATTTAGATTGAAATTCTTGCATTTAATATATTTCTCAGTCTTCAGCCAACTATTTAGAAAAAAAGTAAGGTTTCCGGTACGTTGGATGGATTACGAT